GAAAAAGATGTTTCCTTTTTCCACATGTCAGTTATTGTGGAATGATTTGAATTTTCACAAGTGTACAAAGCTGTTTTTGCAAGCTTATTTTTGGTACAAATGTATCCCGGGCCATGTATTCTCTGTTGTACACTGTTTGATTATTAAAACTATCTGTGCTTTTAGTTCTAATTTATTCCTGATATTAGCAAAGTTGTTAGCAAAGTTGTTACCCTCTGATTGCTTACAATAATGAATTAGTAGCTATTTTTCTTGCCATCCAATATAATCTACCACAGTCCTGGGTTGCAGTGATATCACTTCTAGAGCAAATAGCAAGCTAACGATTTAAGTGTTGGTTCCATTTATTACGTACCAGTGGATGTCTCTCAGGACAATCAACAGTAATGATCTGCCATTCACAGAAAGGAACATAGTGTTTCTGTAAAAGCAGAATCATGTGATAAGGCCCATGGCAACAATTGCATCTTCAGTTTGAATTAGAACAAAGAACATTTTAACAATATTTGTATTTTGGTAGAATGCAGTGAGGTTTGCTCTGTAAAGCTCCAGCTTGAGGCGCTGGTACACAACTGACAGACTGCTGCTGGGCTAGGGTTCACGTGTGCCATCCAGGGCTCTCTCAGCTCTCTGATCAGCAGTGGCTGCTGGGACTTTCAGTAATGTCAGTGACAGAGGCATCAGTCCCCTCCAGTCAGCTTGAACTCTCCTGTCAGGAGCTGTGGGACTCTGCAGCGAGTCCAGGGCAGAAGAATGCCTCAGCATGTGGGGACTTCTTTACGATCTTGATTAATTGCTCATGTTATTGATTATTTGGGACGATCTGAGGTTCTGAACAATGTTATTTTGCGTTGCTTTTTGACTTTAGAAACTGAACTGAACGGCAGCCTTAAACGTTGAGCCAAAAAGGAAGAACTCAGAAGCAACTGAGAACTTCTACTGTTCTATACTAAATTACATGCGGAATATTGTCCTTGGTGTTTTATTTATTTTCCAAACTGCCTAACAAAAGGAGAACTGTGCAAGGAAGGAAAAGGTTTACAGGGCAAAACAATAATAATCCTTTGCATTTGTATAGTTCTTTTTATCACAAAGGATAAAAAGGATAGCAAACCCAGAGCAGAACTTAACCATGACACTGCACCTAATGCCCTAGAACCTATTTCATATGCTCCAGAAAAACAATAGAACATTTAAAAACGAGAGAACATTAGGCCCACCTTGCCCATCTGGTAGTTAGTAGTTAATTGATTGAAGGAAGCCAGAATATTTAGCTTCAACAACATGGATAGCTTGTTCCACATCCCCACAACCCTCTGGGCAAAGTAGTCCTTCATGCTCTCTGTTTCCACTTGTCTCCACTAGTTCATATTTCACTGTTGAGACTGAAGAAATCGACTGCTTTTCTTTTAGAAATTTACCTGGACCTACAGGCCAGAAAAGGGGCAAGATGAAATGACAGAGAAATATTGATCCTGCATTCTGAGCTGTTACCCTTTTCACTTTGAGGACATTGAAAATCTAACTGATCTGGCAGGTCCTGGAGTGATCCAGCACAATTCTGCAGAGCTCAGGCCAGAGATGGGAAATGATGCAGAAGAACAATCTTGTGCACAAACAAACAAGTGATGTGATTATGACACAGTGCGTGTATGAATGTGTTCTGGGGCAATGTTTTTACCCTGGAGCTGGGGTAACGCTGTGTTTACCGGTTTCTGCTCCAGCCAAGTTTTTAATCAGAGGCAAGATGATTTCAGTTTTGAGTTAAAAAAAAACATCTTCGATCTTAAAACAGCATATGTGATTTGTAATTGGTATTAGCACTGTGCCAAATCATGAGTTTCACAACCACCCTCATTCAGGTGTTTTACCTTGAAATGTAATCAGTTGGAATTAAGCAGAGGAAAAAACACTGACTCACTGGTCAGTGGGTGGGTGTGTCTGATTCAGTCATTCCCACCTGTGTCTGTTCATCTTGAATCGCTTGCTAGGAGTTGTTTAGTCGGAAATAACAGTGCAAATTCTTAATAAACAAAGAAATTAACCTATACAAATGTGTTGTCAAAGCAGCTTTTCCAATCACCAGCCATACTGAAACATTGAAGAAAGACAAAAGGTCATGTCATTCATGGGCTTCAGTGTATTTCTAGATTTTAAGTGTTTGTCTCATTAAGTAGTCTACAATATAATCAATTTCAGAACAACAAATATTTATCATGTCAGAGTTTAATACAGTCTCATTCCAGCCTGTGTCTGTGAATCATTAATTGGGACTCTATTGTAAGTTGTTTTACACACCAACAGGAGAGAACGTTAAAAAGCAATTTGAGGAGAGACTCAACAGGGCTTTTCTCTTTTCTGAATATTTGGGCAAGAATAAAAAGAGTTTAGTGCAGTTTCACCTGATGCTCCCCAGGATAGGCTCTGTGCAACAATGACCCTGAACTGGATAAGCAGTTAGTGAAAGTGATAAGTAAGCGCACCTCAGCTTGATCACAAACCAGAAGATAGAGAAGGGACCCCAGAACCGGAACAGTCATCTGGAACAAAGGTCTCCAGCCATCATTGCAGAGCACCATAATATTTCAGGGTATACATATAATCTGTATGCTTTGTAGAGATATTACATGTCATCCAGAAGGTGTATATATATATATATAAATCTGTGAGGAGGTGATGTGACCTCTCCATTGTCCATGTGAGTTAGTATAGCCCTGAACTAGTTATTTTCATGGGTTACCTTAAATCACCTGTTGTATAAAGATCATGAACACTTTTTTATGTAATTAATCTATCAAGCATGGAATATTTCAATGGTGGGAGCGCTTGAGGACTGAAGGATATTCCGATTTTTTTTCCAAATGAGCATTCAGGTACTTAATTGCATATACTACCTGTTTAATTGATCAAAGTTAAATTGTTCAAATTGTCAATCCAATCTTAAATTGATTACTATTGAAGACTGCCTATAAAGCCAGCTGGGCTGGGGCTCTCTTGGACTAGGGTCTGGAGAAGCTTGATATATAGGCTTACAGATTAGTGAGCACAGATCTGGGGAAAACATGTGAACCTTTCTTAATTAGGCAGCTAATGAATGAAATTGCATTGCCCAAGAGCTCAGCTGGTACACGTATCAAAAGATTGACAAGAACTGAACACAGTTGATCTAATATTATAAATTCAGATCAGGTGTTGGTACCTACGTTATTTGACCTTGTTGAGTTTTAATCAACCTATTTTAACCTGAGGTCTTGTGATTGTGCTCCACAGTATAAAACATGGGGCTCACTGATCTGGAGACCTATTGGGGTGTAATTCCAGCAGCATCCAGTAAAGATTTAGTTAATTCAGACTCTAACCAGAAGTCAGACTGTTTCATGTGAATCCCTGGCGATGCAAACTGCAGTGCACCGATAACCCAGAGAACAGCTTGTGCTGAGAGTTTGAGGAAAGGAAACAGAAAATGCTGATCCTCACATTTTAGTAGGAAGCAGATTAAGGACCATCTTGTAATCTTGTGAGAAGCGAGACTCATGAAGTCTTTGGGTTTGTAACCACTAAGCCCACACCAATCTTTAAAAAAAAACACCTGAATAACGAATTGTGCTGATGCTAGACCTCTCATAATCTAGTCTCTCTGACTGAATTTCTAACCTCTTTCTGACTTGGCAGCTGGTGTATGGAATATACTACCCAGTTAGTCTGAACTGAGGTGCTAAAAGTGAACTAAGTGCTTCAGATGAATAAGACTCTTGGATCAATAAATGCTTGTTATTATTTATTTGTTTTGCAGATGCCCTTATCTGGCACAAAAGGAAACATTGGGTATGGTTACAAATAAGAGAAATTGCAATAAAATTTCAATAAAAGAAAATGGCATACAAACAAACTGAGATTATATACATAAATGAATCACATATAATAGTAACTGCAAATGTAGACATGGTGCATTCTGTTTCCTAATACATTGAGTGAGTTACATTTGCAAATTAAGAATTAAATTAATTTAGTACAATAAAACATTGCAAGAGTTACTGATGGATTTATTGCAATAATAGCTTATATACAGCTCTTTTCATCCCGAGGCTTTCCAAGAGCTTCACATGAGAGGGAGCCTCCTCTGCGCCACTGATGTACAGCCACACTGTACAGCAGATCAGGGATGTGGCTTCAGCAGCTGATTTAAGGGGGATCTTTCGGGAGGCCAGACTGTGAAAACCATGAATGGAGTTCCGGTAAAAGGATATCTCTACTCTTACAAACAGTATCCTGGGGAGCAAGTAGCCAGGACCTCAGTTAACATGTCATCTGAAGGACAGCACACAGTCTCTGGTCACCATACTGGGGCTTTGGACTGGAAATTCTGGCCCAGAGGGAAGAGGTCACCTACTGGTCCACCAACACCACTTGCTGCAGCAACCTAGTTTTCCTTAGAGCTCTAGTACTCAGTCTTGGTCCTGGGGGACCCTTGTGTCTTCTGGCTGTTGCTCCTGCCAAACTCTTAATCGCAGGCAACCTGATTTCAACTCTGGGCTCCAGGCAGGTTTTGGACTTTTCTTAAAATTCCAGCTCTTAAAAAACTGTATGGGGTTTGTAGTTGGTATTGACTTCCAAGAGTTTCCTCTTTCAGGTGTGTGAACTAGGATATAACCAATCAAACCCAAGCGAAAGGGAAAAAGAACAGGAGTGTCTGATACCTTATCATTGTCACCTGTGTCTGTCACACATTGATCACGTATCAACAGCCTCTTAGTCAGAAATAAGGGAAGAAATACTTAATCATTGAGCTGAGGAGACACTGCATAAACGTCTGTGTGCTGAAGTTGTTAGACGTGACATTTTTGTAAATAACGACTGTGAGCAGCAAAAGTCTAAACCTAACAAACAGATCAATGACTTGGCTCTAATTAGCATAAGTAATTAAGCTTCTAGTTTTAACAAAAAGCAGACAGAGTGCACCCCCCAGGAGGACTAAGAACTATTGCTGTATAGGTCTTCCATCCCATTACTGATGGGGCCCAGTAGTTGAGATCTGAGTGGTGGCAGGTGCTATACAAACAGAAGGATCTTGAGGAAGCACAAAGGTGACTGAGAAACTTTAATCAAGCTAATGTGCAAGACAGTACAAACTGTCCGTTTACATGTTAACCTTTCTTGCATTGCTCTATTTACTTTGCTCTGCATTTAAAAAAGTACCATGCCTTTCAAATTACTGTATCAATGTCTGAGTGTGTTCCGGGAAATAATGGTTTCATCTGATGGCCTGATAGAAGCGTCTACTTGCACAAGAACGTATTTTTTATGTGAATGCTTTGTTTTCCGGGAGTATAAAGATGAGTTTATGCCTAAACTACTTTGTTACAAAGGGTTTTGTTATACTCATTAAGAAGAACGGCCATATCCTTCAATGAAACAGAATTATCAATGGGGGAAAACATCCATGTTTTTAAACGTAGTTTTGAAAGACACCTTGACAGAAACCCAGGTCAGTCAAGAGAGCAGTTTTAGAGAGACAAGAGATTGAGGATAAAAGGAGCTCTCTCTCCCCCCTTTGTTCGCTATCGTAATCTGCTTCAGCTCCTTTTTTTTTCTAATTTTCTTTGTTTTTGTGTTTTTCTTTCTCTGTGGTTTTCGAACCGTGCGGCACACGAAGGGTTAAGGCGTATGAAAACAGGAAACACGTCTGCCTTTTATTAGGCGAGCTGTTCTCAGCTGCAGGTGAGTAATCTGATCGCTGTGGCGTCCTGTTTGTGTCACTCCTCTCCTGCCCACTCCGCCCACTCCGCTCACCTGCGCTCCTCTCCCGCCAGGGCTGCGCGCTCTCCCTCCCTGCCTCCCAGCCCGAGGCGCGCTCTGCGCTGCGGTGAGGGCGCACCGCTCCGAAAGCGTTAAAAACAGCACAAAAAAAGAGGAAATCAGAGTTGCAAGGCAAAGCCCGGAGCTCAACAAGTTAAATTCCAGCTTTCATATCTGGTGAATTACAAGTGGCGGATTCCAAACACGCCTCTGGACACCTACGGGTTTTAAATTGGAACTGACCACCTGTTTAATTAGAACCACTCGTCGATCTTGGGGCACATTTTAGCTTTTCATTTTTTCCCCCCACCCTTTCATTTTCATTCCATCCTGCTTCCCTGTATTCGTAAAGCGCGCCTTTGCTAGACAATTCGTTTGGACCCTGGCCTGGAGCTCTGATGATCCTATTTTAGAAATTTCGCAGCTCTGTGTACCCGCCAAGAACTGACCGTGTCGAAAGCTGCTTCTTTTTTTTCCCGACCATTTTAAAATTACTACTATTCGAACCCATCGTGTTCATAAGAGATTTCTGGCATATCTGAACATATTCTACAAAGCTTTCCTATCTGGTTTCTCCGCCGCCCAAAAAGTGCTTTCCAAAGAGAGCTCTCATCCTGCCGCACGCACACCCAGTTTATTGCGGGGAGGTGGGAACCGCGATTGACGTGCCTCCCGGCAGCTGCTCCCTAACACCCACTCTCTTCCTGTGCCGGCGCGACAGGCAGCGCTGCGTGCGGCGGCGCTGCCCCCGGACTGTGCTCGGTGCAGTCGGCTCGACTGTTGTCACCTTGCTGGGATTGGACCGGTGCCAAAGCGACGCCGGGGAGCCGTGTGTAACCACGCTGCAACCATTCACAATCCCCACCTGTAGCTCCCACACGACCCCCTGTCATGAAGAGCTCCGTCAAGTGAGCAGTCTCACGGCTTTTCCATACGGTGCTGCTGCCTTTTTATACGTTGGGGGAAAAACAAATGGTCTCTCGGGTGAATGAGTATCGCCTAACTCTCCTCACGTTTAACTCTGTTGTTAAATTAATTTGAGATGTCACTGCAGTGGTTTCAGTAAGTGTAAAGCAATTTGAAATGCCCGCTGCCGTACAAAATGTAATGATGGTGATGCAAAAACGGAACACTTTCAGGAGTTTTTCTGTGCACCTGTCAGTATTCTTCATCCCCTTTAGTTTCATGCGTAAGATTTACGAGGATGCTTTCGGTTGGTTTTCATTTTCAAATGACTAGATATGTTGTATAAACACCCCCACCTCCCATCCTCCATCCTCGGCTGTTTCAGGACTGTAGTGATGTGTTCTAGTTACATAAGCAACCCCAATGCAACCTGATCAGTAAATAAGTGCTACAAGTTTTCCCGTCTCCGATGTGACTTTTGGTTTTGACCGCTGTGGTGATGAGCCGGGAACCTGCAATAACCCGGCTGCTTAGGCTGGTGAGTCAGTGATTAGTTTGTTACTAAGTGACTAGTTCAAGAAAGAAAAAAGATGATCTCGTTTGTTACTGCATCTTCTGTTCTGATACTAACCTGTGTCATCTTAGCTCTTAAACGTGCTACCTGAGCTCTTTTTGTTCACATCCTGTTGGAAATGTACCAGTCTACAGCACCAAAGCTGTACAGTGCTCTTCCGCAAGGGGAAGCGAGGATGTAAATGTCTGAAAGAGGCATGTTGTTTCTGGAGGACTGTTGCCATTTTGATTTGTCGGTTGCGCTGTATTTTGGGTGGTATGGTGGTGCAGTGGTACTGCTTCAAAACACTGGGGCCCTTGGTTCAGTTCTTGGGGTGCTATCTGTGTGGAGTTTGCATGTTCTCCCCAGGTTCGCTTGGGTTTCTTCCCACCGTCCAGAGACATACTGGTAGGTTAGTTGGCTTCTGGGAAAACTGGTGCTGGTGTGAGTGTGTGCCCTGTGATGGACTGGCGTCCTGTCCAGGGTGTACCCTGCCTTGCACCTCTTGCTTGCCAGGATAGTCTCCAGCTCCCCTGCAGCCCTGAAATGGATGAAGTGGTTAGAAAATGGCTGCATGGATACTCTATATTTTCTCATGAAGTGGTGAAGGCTTAGCATTGGGTAGATGCCGGCAAAGTGCTTGGTCACTTTTTATTTGCCTTATTTCATACATTAGCAGTGGGCCATCTTGAGGGCAGGTTGAGATGGAAGTTTCTGGGGAAAAAAAACAACGTCCAAGATACTGCTCTTGTGTGGTGTATCTTTTGTTCTCAATAAACAAATGCATAAACAAATTCATTTACATCCCTTGCAGAATTCACCTGTCCTTCCAGCCCAGGTGATCTAAAAGCATTATCCTATCAAAGAACTGCCTCACCTGCCATCCTGTATACAGGCATAGTCTGGGGAAAATGCTAAGATGCCTTTGGAAGAATTTTGAATTTTTGTCCATGATCATTTGTTTTTAAGCAGCCACCTCCCCCATCCCCAAGAAAAAAAAAGCATTACATTACATCAAACAGAACCTGTTTCATGTCAGTGCTAATAGTTGCTGATGCTCAGTGCCTGGTGCCCTTTGACCCTTGACCTTCACTGCTTGCCTCCGCTAGCAGACAGACCGATGGTCTGTGGATGGAAACAAAGCAGCTCAGCGCCTCTGTGGTCACACATCGAGGCAGCAACGAGTCATTCGGCTCGTTCTCAAGCTCGGGTGGAAAAAAGACGAGCCAGCAGCACAGCCCTTTGAACCATTGTCTGTTGTGGTGACTCAAAAGTTTCCATTCCGAAGAGCCAGTGTCACCACCTCCAATCAGGTCACTTCAGTTGGGGTCATTATTTGTTGTGTTAACTGTAAGATCTGAAGAACCTTTGTTTCCGTAAAACGATACACGCAGCAGGTTCAAAATGGGAGCAAAGCCTGTATTTCTCGGAAGTTATTGGGGGAAAAAAAAAATCGAGAACAGGATAAAGATACATCTGTGATGTCTCTTTTGTTCTCGCTAAACAAATGCACGAATGCCCTCATTTACATCAGTCATATAATTCACCTGTCCCTCCATCCCAGGTGTCCTGAAGCATTATCCCATCAAGGATCTGTCTCCCAAGAAATACACACCTGTTATTCAAAGCAAGACCTCATGCTGAGAATTCAGAGGGATTCTGTCTGTAAGAAGTCTTCATGCTCCAGTAAAAGCAGAACGTGGTAATACACATGTGACAAAGGCATCTTAATAACAAGAATAGAATAAGGAAACCTGATTAACATGACACTGTCCTTTTAGACATATTGAAACTATTTCTAAAAGTAATTGTTGGTTTGCTATGTTGTTTTTAATTGTATTTCATTCTGTTTGCATATATATTTCATGATATAAACTGCTTTATATCATGAAATATATATGTAAACAGAATGAAATACAATTAAAACAACATAGCAAACCAACAATTTCAAAAGGTCAGCATAAACTAATCATAATGTGAATAACCTCACACCCGAAGAAGGCTCCACAGCCGAAACGTTGTTTCTTTTCTTCTCTTTTCAGCATGGAATAAACCTGTACTTGTTCCAATATGTGAATAATGTGTGGATATAGCTCAGAGATCTGAACTGCGTCTAACAGAGTGATAATACATATTATAACAAATACTTTACTCCTACTTCTGTCTCTAAGGACATGTTAAGGTTCAATTATGGTGTTGGGTGGCATGGTGGCGCAGCACTGGGGCCCTGGGTTCTGTTCCTTGGTTGCTGTCTGTGTGGAGTTTGTATGTTCTCCCTGTGTTTGCATGGGTCTCCTACGAGTGCTCTTGTTTCCTCCCATGGTCCAAAGAGATACTGGTAGGCTAGTTGGCTTCTCGAAAATTGGTCCTGGTGTGAGTGTGTGTTTGTCTTTTTCTGGACGAGAAGGGTGGATTTGCGGGATTGTAGTTTTCCGTTGGTTTTGAGGCCCTTTCTGTCCTTTGTCCAGTTTTGCTAGATGAATATCATGCCCTCCGTTAGCTCTCTGTGCCTTGACCATGACTTCAGTGTTCACGCTGCTGCAGTTGTACCGTGGTACTCTTTCAAGAATGGCGGATGAGCAGACTGGGGTGAAGCCGTCTTGAGAGTGTGTGTGTGACTGAGAGAGAGAATGTGTGTACACTGTGGTGAGCCACAGACAGAAATAGCTGCTGTTTTTATCAGCTCAGATGGGACTCTCTCCAAACCCCTCCTAATGAAGTCTTCTGTCAGAGCTCTGATAAGGTGTCCGCTTGTGTCATCAGTGGGGGGGGGGAGGGCTGATGGAAAACAGGTGGAGAGGTGAGGAGGGGGCAGGCTGACGCCACAGGAGAAAACAATTAGCGCAGGGGTGGAGCTGAGAGGAAGGGCGACAGCTTCTTTTTTCTTTAATTAAGTTAGCTTATTAATAGAGGGGTAGACTGGGACCAGAAATGCACAGCTTGCAAAGAAAGTTTGGCCCCATCTAGCTTTGTGATTCTTTATAGATACTGGACTGCTAAAATGAAGCAGCACGTTTTAGTCTTAACTGTAGAGTGGCTACCACGTTCTATGGGATTGGAAATGACTGCTGTAAATGTATGCAGGCAAGATCTTGTTGGATATCACTGAAGAGTTTTCTTCTCAGATTAACCTCAAGTCCTGCAGTGTTTGGCGCTCTGAGCATCTTTATCGGGAAAGGAATTCTTCCATATCTCATAGAGGAGGATCTTTCTCTCTAAGGCCAGCAATCGTTAAACATGTGACCAAACTTGTGAACTTCCATGAATCCCCCCCTTCCCACAGTCCCCCGATGGCTCACTTAAAAACACCAGCGTTAATGAAACCCGTGATGTTTATTCAAACAGGCTTTAAGGTGTGATTTTCTTTCTCCACATTTTCTGAAAAGAACTGTCGAGAATTGAAGGAGACAAACCCTAAAAGAGCCAACATACCTGAAGAAAAGGAGCAAAGCCATTTGGTTAA